AAATATCATGTCTGTTTTACTTAAAAATAAATAAACTCAATGGTATTATATATACATATAAAATGTAAGAAAAGACTTACTAGCCCTCTGTAAAAATGTGCCTATTTCTATTTAAGAAAAATATATGAATTGATTTTTTAAATAATCAAGGTAATCATTCAGTTTTTTACTTTCTGATTGAAGCTATTGATTATGGAACTCACAAATTGTGATTCTCAATTCTAAAAGTTGTTGGAAACACAAATTAACTCTTGATTAATAAAATATTGTATGTGTTCTCTCACTATTGAGATGCATTGGCTAAGAAAATAGTGTTATCTTCGTTCTATATGTTATTGGACATTATACACAATCTTTTAGTAGAGTAATTCAGGTTCATTTATAAAATGAGCAATTAAGTTTCTTTATTTTTCAAATGATTGAGTTATTAAAGAGAGTCAAAATTAAAGTCCTACTTTGAAAAATAAAGGTAGTGACAAACTGAATAACAGTAGGGAAGATTTACACTTGGATATTTTTACATTAAAATGGACTTCATTTTAGAAAGCAAGACACCAGACCATAAAACCAGGCATCCAGTACAGTAGTCCCTCATTATCCATGGTTTCCTTTCCAAGGTTTCAGCTACCTATGGTCAACTGTTGTCCCAAAATATTAAGTAAAGAATTCCAGAAACAAACAATACATACATTTTAAGTTGTGCACAGTTTTGAATAGCATGATGAAATCTGTCAGCTTTGCTCTGTCCTGTCCTGGACTTGAATCATCCCTTTGTCCAGGATATCCAAGGTGTACGTATATATATGCTACCTGCCCGTTAGAAACTCAGTAGCTGTCTTGGTTATTAGATGGACTATTCTGGTATCACAGTGCTTGTGTACAAGTAACCCTTATTTTACTTAATAATAGCCCCAAAGTCATTCACATAACTTTTATTACAGTATATTGTTATAGTTCTATTTTATTAGTAGTAATTGTTAATTTCTTACTGTACCTAATCATAAATTAAACTTTATCATAGGTATGTATATTTACTATACACACACACACACACACACACACACACACACACAGAGGGTGCCAAAAAATGTATATATATTTTAAGAAATGAAAAAATTGTATTAAAATCATAATACTTAATATATACCAATAACAAAAGATAAATACAAGTCAGATTTGACTTCTGCAATTACAAGAGGCACTCAAAGTGGTTACCATCAGCATAATTTTAATACAATATCTTCCTTTCTTAAAATGTGTATATTTTCTCTCTCTCTCTCTCTCTCTCTCTCTCTCTCTCATATATATGTGGTTTGGTAACATCCACAATTTTAGGCCACTGCGGGTCTTGGTCTGTATCCCCTATGGATAAGGGAGGTTTACTGTATAAAAGTGAGAAAATTTTTTATCTTGCATGACAAATTGAAACAAACATGTATGAAACCTAATAAAAAGTTTTGTTAGATCCCATTTGCTGTATATTTATATTGTCACAAAATAATATCTGATCTTAAAATTGGGTGAGCTCAGAAATTATGTAATTCCAACTGCTATAAAAATTTATTTTCTGTAATAGTCAAATAACACACCCAGAAAGATAAACAATATCACATAAAAGGGTACAACTATTCTTTTTTAATTCTGAATCAGTTACACTTGAAGAAATAATATATACTTTATATTTGTTACATCAATTTTGTTAAACCAATCAGGAAGTATGAAAAGAAATAGCCTAATATTAAAAAACAAAACCCTATATCTGGATTAAAATGTATTCCTTTTGTCACTAGAAAAATACATTTTAAATAAAACAATAATCCTACTCTGAATTATAAAATGCAACCACAGAAATATATTGTGTCACAAACAGTAGATGTTTAAATAAATACAAAAATAAATTTTAATGGGTTAGAATAGCTTCTACCATTCACAAGGGGCCATTTTTGTTTGTTTTTTTTAATAAAAAGGGAATAAAATAGTTATTTCGTTTAGGATATTCATAGTTATTTTGTCTGTCTACCATTTAAAATTCAACTCTATAAAATACATTTTTACATCTATAAAATGCAGAGAAAAATACTATAATTTAACTATAGATGGGCTTTAAAAAGACAATATTTGCATTGCTTTAAAGCAGTGACTTTGCAAATTAAAAAGAAAATATTCATACCACATTAAAATTTGTTTCATGAAGATTTAGTGCTTTCCTCAAATAATTTATAAGTAGAATTACTATTAATATTTTAAGTCTGTTAAAATGCATATTTATGTATAAAATGCACAAGCATCATTTACCATGCCTAAAATCAATGTTTTTAAAAGTTCACAATCTTCAAAAATTTAGCAATTCAGTTCAAAAATTGAGTGGGGGTAAAGAGGTTGATTGGAGGAAGTAAAGTTAACACAATAAAGGACAAACTAATAAGACAATAAAAGATACATTGAGGGAGGGAAGTCAGATAAGTACATAAATATAAGCTAAGCCAAAATGCAAATGTTCCTCTATGAAAAGTACACCTAAAATATTTGTGCATTCAGAGGTACGATATTAGAACTGGTTGAATGGAACAATAAATTTTCCATAGAAGAGATAACACTAAAGACTGAAAGTGGGGAGGATTTCAGCGTATTGCAGATGGAGGAAAAGAGACATTTAAACTGGAATGATGAACAAGGCACAATCTGTGAGAATCAGTCTTGTTATAAGAAGGAAGATGAGTCAGCTTTGGTTTGCTATTTCTAGCTGCATATAGCAATTGCACAGTTAACCTGGCAGGTTACTTGAGAATTTATAAACACTTTATTTTAGAGCTTCTATAAATAACTAAAACATTAAAGTTCTATCAAGTTCTATATTCATGATTCAAATTCTCACTTAATAATGAATAGTTCAGTTTCCATAGATGAGGGCATTGTTTTAGTATTTTTATTTGTATTACTATATTACTCTAAATTGGAAACTCACCATGGTAACTGATTATTTAACATTGGAATGAATCAAATGTTCAAATATATTTGTGTAACTAAAGAACAATTAGATATCCTAATGTGAATTTAATAATCAATGGTCCTGCTTTCAGACAAGAGTTTTTAACATTGTTTGCTGTAAAACTATGGAAGAATCGGCCCTTAGAATGTGTCACCTTGATTAACTGTATAAAAGCAGAAGTTAACTCAAAGTTTCTAAAATAAAATTATCTGTCTGGTCCTATTTTTTATCAGAGCCTGCTATCATTTCAGAGAATTAAGCAAATTATATAGCAGGTAAGCAGTGTTTTGGCTTTGTTGTGTTTTGTTTTTTTTTCATTATTTTCTCACTAACGAGTAATCCAGAGATTATTTTCACTTAAGGAAAATAGTACTGCAACTGGTTTGTCATTGATGATGATCTGAATTTAATCCCCAGAAGTAAAAACAAATATGTCAATGGCTTACCATATTGCTGAATAATTTAATAGGATACTAGGCAGACAAACTCCCCTTTCTCAGATGACTATTCAATTCCCTTATTTTTTTAAAAAAATTAAACCCATATTAACATTATTACTTAGCCCATATCACCGTACTTTCCCTGGAATGAAAATTCCTACTTTTCTTACCAGTCAACTTCAAGCCAGGCCTTCAGCAGTATCTTGGTGCAGGAAATAACAGATGCTTCACCAAAGTGAAATACTATGAAAATTCTAAATAGCTTCCCAAAGATTGGTAAAAAGTATGGGGGGGTGGGGGTGAATGAAAATATAGATTATGAAACTGAATTAAAACATGAACTTTAATAAGCATAAGAATAAAAAGGAAGAAATGAGAAATACTGGTGATCCTAACTAATGTCCACATATAAAAACTAAGTAAAATAATATTTCTACTTACAAGTACACTGACATACAGGAGAGGTGTCAGCTAAAGAAAAAAATAACTACAGCAGTATTCATTGAACAGCAGTATTCATACAATAAAATTGTTTTCAATATGATTTTACCACGTGTTCACTGGCAAGAAGCAAGGAAGGGAAAGGAGGGGAGAAGGGAGGAAGAGGAAGAAAGAAACTTCCTAACTAAAAGCAAGCAAAGCCAAGCATAGTCTGGCACTATGATTGTCAGTCAGGGTAGGATATAAACAATCCATTAGATTTGTTGGATATTTACTAGCATGCTTGGGGGGAAGAGCTGCAGCTAGTATTTTTTTTTAGTTTGCTCCTTACAAGGACAATTTGAGTTATAGCGGAGTAAGTTTTTCATCCATGTGAGTTCCTCTCTCTATGTTCCAAGGCAAAATGCTCATACTTATGGCATCTAGAGCTCTACTTTACCCACACAAAGGAACAGGAGTCTCATCCTTTCAACTTGTAGATAGCGCATAAACGAACAGGGATATGATTCAGATATTTTCTCTGTAACCCACACCATACCTCATTCAAAGAATGAACCTGCACAGACCATTGGTTTGATCCAAATATTTGCATTGTCAGATAAAGTACATACGTATTTCTTAATAATGTTAGGCTTCTTTAGAAAAGATGCTATTGTATGCAGTATTTGGCCCTTCCTCATTTATACCCCGATCTGGTCCCTGCTGGTATTTGTACACATCCCTTCTCACCGCCTGTTGTTTAGGCCTAGACAGATAGAAGGGTTCAAGAAGTGACAGAGATGATACACAATCTAAGTAGAATGAGAAAAACTAATTTTAAATTAATACAATTACAATAGAGTAGCTGTCATGTACTTTACAGATTTAAAACTTTCAATGATACAGCACTGAAAAATATATTACAGCACATTTTAATTTTACTTGTTCATCTCTATTGTTTCCATATATCGACTGTCTAATATTAAGAATTAGTTTTAAGTGTGTAGAAATCATTTCTTGTAGAAGTTGTGGGACACTATCATTCCCACCAGATTATTTCTGTTATACACCTGCAAGCGATTTGTGCTGCGTTCCTGAAAACAGTTCTTCGTTTGAACTTGTAACAATTAGGTCATATTGGGCATCGTAAATCAAAAACAAACTTATGAATTTCTCTAGTTTTTATTAACTACTGATAGTTTAACATGACTTACATTATTTTTTAGAATGCAATATTTAGAATAAAGTTTTCTATTAAATTAAACAAACACGAACAACACTAAAGTAGGTCAGAAAGAAGCCATTCAAATTATGTTGACAACAGCACCACGTCTCCTACAGTTGTCTCCGAGTCCTGACTGTGGTTAGAGCTGATACCAGTGTCCGAGTCTGTGTCATTTGTATACATGTGAAATACTCTTTGAGTAAAGGAAGGTGCCTCCCCACTGCTGTTGGGGACCTCAGGCTCCTGCACTCTGCTTTCCTTTAGCGGGCAGCCATCTTTGTTGCTAACATGAAGTGAACCGAACTCCTTGGCCAGGAGCTCGTATTCTTTTGCTTTCATCTGAAGCAGTGAGTCACTGTATTTAATCTCTTTCTGGATGCCACTCAAGTGAGAGTGGATTTTCAAACCAGCTTTCATGCTTTTCTCCAAATCACACTTAACACTTTCTAAATTAGAACTTTCGAGTTCACTTGCAGCTGCCCCTGGTGCATCTTCATTCATCTGAGTGCAAACACTTTTTACTTCTTTTTCTATTTCAGCAGAGAGCTTATCAATGAGCATTCTGTAATATGTTAGTTGTTCCTCCAGCTGTACGATCCCATCACTTTCGCTCAGGTCCTCTAGAATCTGGTTTTCATCACACTGCAGGTCTAGCTTTTGCTCCACTTCACTGAAGCTGGGCATCAAATATGCATTCTGGACATAATTTTCTCCATCATTTTCTACCCGATCAAGGTGGAATTTGGCCTCACACTTTTCGATTTCCAGATCCAGCTCTTTCATTCTCTTGACTTGCTGATGGATAGTATGGTCCTGGGAAATTATCAGATGAACTAAGGTCTCCATACTATCTCGATCATGGGAAACTGTGTCCTGCTTAATTTTCGCCAGTTTCCGGAAAGTTTTTCTGACTATTCTTTTTTGCTTATCTGGTGGTAATGTCTTCATGTAATTTGCTGGGCTGAGCTCCCACAGTTTTTCTGTGTTTTGCACTAATTTGGCTTCAGCTGTCCGCCACAAGGGAACTGGTAGAAAAGCATCGGCTTTAACCAAAACAAACTGCATATTGGGCTGCTCATCCCCCCATGCTTTCCAAAGCTTCAGGATTCTAGTAAGAGGAGGAAGGGCCCGTTCTGAGCCTCTCCACTTTTCTATGATGCAGTAATCACTGGTCTTCCCCAGAAGAAATCGTTTCTCTCCAAAGGTCGTCTCATGTTCTTCAAGCAGAGCCTGGATGACATCAGCAGCGGTGGTGCGTTTAGTTAAACCACAGACAATCTTCTCTTCTTGGCAAACCCAAACCACAATTTCCTTCTCTTCTGAATCCATGTCTTTAATTGGAGATCTGCAAGAATAACAAAGCACATTATATTTCTGTCATCAACTGTGTAAACTCAGAAAGATGTTTTAACTTTAATACCCTTAAGGAGAGATGCATTTTGAGGTTGACACTACATAAGAATCAGAAGTTTTACTGCTGCAAGAAAAAAAAAAAATTCTTAAAACCATGAAAAATATCTTAATTTCCTTTTTATTTCCTAGTGGGCTCCAGAAAGAGCAAACTGTCATCAAAGATACCTGAGACTAATTTAGCTTTAGAAGTCAGACATAATAAAACTAGTTAGAACTGCTCGAGTTAAGACAATAATCAAAATGGAGATGCATAAGAGGAGACAGAATAAGACTTTTACTGCTGGAGACTTAGGACTAGAGAAGGACCATGGAAGCATAAGTAGGTAGGATGAAATGATATTGGAGTCATAGAGTGGAAAATAGTCCATTATTAAAAATTGTCATTCTTTTATTCAACAAATGTTTATTGCATGCCAACCATGTGCCAGATATGTCTGAAGATTCTAAAACTACTACAATAAATAAGAGATGAAATGTGTCATTAGATGAAATGTGTAAAAGACACAAATGTGTAATTAATGTAACATCAGATAATGGTAAACGCTAGAAAGAATATTAAACTGGATAAAGGGATAGAGAATAACTTGGAAGAAGGAGAAGTCAGTTTTATTTAGTGTTTAGGAGAGACTTCTCTAAGGTGATACATGAACAGGGACATAAATTATGAGGCGGCAATGGGAGGCCTAAGGAAAGAATTCCCAAAGGAGTAAACAGAGGTACTGGGGCCATGAAGTGTGTTCAAGGGACACAAAGAATGCGAATGCATTAATAAATGGAGGCTGAGAAGAGTGGAGTTGGGAGTTATTGCTGGTGGGAGAGAAAAGTCAAATGACCAGTGATGGGACACAGCAGAAAAACCTAGACTCGCAGGCCATGGTAACGTATTTGGATTTTGTTCCAGTTTTAATGAGAAGGCAAGGGAAAGTTTTAAGCAGAGGAGGAATATGATCTAATTTATGCTTTAAGTATATCTGGTTTCTGTTTATGGAATGGACTGTAAGAGGGGCAAAATGTAAAGGCAGGAAGGCTTGGTCAAAAACTAACAAAACTGGGCCAGCCTAGTGGCACATAGGTTAAGAGCTGGCTTGGGATGCCAGAGGGCCCCGGTTCGGATCCCACATATGAGGGCCAGTGACACTGCCCTCTACAGCTAAGATGCTGAACAACAGCTCAACCTGGAGCTGGGCTGCCGTGAGTCGCAGGCGCCGGTGTCAGCGACAGCGTAGGCTGCAGCCCCTGCTTCAGTGGGTTACCATGGGCTACCATGTGTAGCCAGCAGCCAGCGTGAGCAGCCAGCAGCCGCAGTGAGTGGCTGTCCAGAAGCCGGCAACTGATCTGCCTCACCTGGGAAGAGCGCAATGATGGTGCCAACTTGAGCCAGTGAAGGGACATCCTCCACAACTTGACTGAAGAACAAAAGGACAGCAACTTGTCTGTTCCCCTCCCTCCCAATTCCCCAGCGCTGTCCCCATACCCCAATTCCCCAATAAAAATATTTAAAAGAAAACCAAAAACTAACAAAACTGAGTAATTATCATAATTATCAATCTTATGAGAGAATGGGAATAGCTATGATGCTAAAACTAAGGACTTCTTTATTTTATAATATGTTTTAGTGTTAAACTCTAAAAGAAATCCTATTAAAAAATAAGCACCAATAAAGGTCATAAACATCAATTATAAAACATTTAATATGTACCAGGCAATGTTCTAAGGTCTTACATCTATTAAGTCATTTAATCCTCACAATTCTGTAAGGTAGGCAATGACATTGTCACCATTTTACAGATAAAGGAGCTAAAGCACAAGGGATTTTAGTAACTGAGGATTCCAATCCAAGGAAAAAAGCCAGCTCCGAGAGCAGTTCTAACAATTACACAATAAAAACAAGGTTACAAGTTTGATGATTTAGACATATGGGTTAAATTGGAAAAAATCATAAAATAAAAATATTTTTAAGAACTTCATCTTGTAACTTAGACTTTGTTAACAATAGAAACATCGTGCCCCATCTGAGCACTCAGCTGTTCAGGGAAGGACTTTTTCCAATGGCCAGCCCTGAAGAAAAGTGTGTGGAAATGTGTTACTTCCTGTGCCTTCTTCATATTCACATTGTTCCTGCTCTGATGTTATAAAAGGGATTTCTGTTCGACCTCGGTGCTGACAAAACTCTCATATATATATATATATATATATATATATATATATNCTGCTCTGATGTTATAAAAGGGATTTCTGTTCGACCTCGGTGCTGACAAAACTCTCATATATATATATATATATACATATATATATATATATATATATATATATATATATGTATATATATATATAAAAGCTGATATTGTCATCTACTTAGAGTGTTCTCAATGTTCTGTCCCACTTTCTGGGTGGGCAAGATCGGTTCTGGGTCTGTAGCAAAGGATGACACATGACATATAACATCTTCAACCATGTGAAGAAGACTGGGAGGCAGAGATCAAGGAATTCTTTAGTATAGTAGAATAATAATAATAGTGTATATGAAAATTCCCCAATACTTTCATGATCCCTATTCCAATTGGAATCCTTGTTTTGGAAGGATCAAGTTGTTGTATATTATGACTTTCCTTAGCGATCTGCTTGTTTTCAGCTTATGTGGATAATGTGGCACTAATGGTCATGATGCACAATCTAGTAAGATATTTTTATTTGCATATCACATATGAGAAAATTAATGCCTTTATTAGCAACCTCACAGCCTGGTTGTAACGCTTTTTTTGGTATGTATGTATGTATGTATGTATGTATTTTAGGTAGACACTAAATGTCCTTGTATTTTCTTGGCTCACTTAATTCTAAATATTTTGAGAAAATTTCACAACCATCATTCAAACAGGATAATTTTTAAAAATTCAGCCACGTGACTAAACATTTTTAAGTGATGAGCATTCATTAGTGAATTTAAACAATAAATCTTTCATACCTAGTATAAGCTTCATTGTGTTTAAATTCTACTTTGTATCAGGCTTAGGATTTTGAAAACTGTATTTATTTTGTCATATGGCTTCAATTGAGTTTCTGTATATTAATTGGACAGATATTTTCTGAGCACTTCCTCGTGTCTGGCACTGTCATGGACACGTGGGTGATATAAAGACATATACGATTTATAAGACAGTGTCCCTGGCCTATTGTGGGAAAAGTGCTCGAATTAGGAAGGGAACACGTTAGTGTCAATTCCAGTGTTAACTTTCTTATTACATCAGTGGTTCCTAGAAGCTAGACTGATGACCGACCCTCAGCTTCATTTCATTTTTTAAATAAAGAACATTCAAATAAAAAATATACAAAGGTAAAATAAATATTCATCAAAATTAAACCAATTTAGAAATCTTAATCACTACTTTTTAGAAATAATTACCTTCATTTCATCACAAGCCCATGCAAACGTAGTCATCTGATATAAAGAATTTAACATTAGAACTTAGACTAAATAAAATGTTCCCTTCTCAACAGTTGGAAATTTAGTATCTAGTGTAAATAATGACATCTATAAACACATACACAACAAAGATTAAAAATACAAACTTAGACTAGATAAATTATTTTGTCATGTAATATAATGAAACAAACAGTTCTTACCTAATTATTCAAATCTATTGTAGTAGTTGAAACATATAACCTCCAATTCTGATGCAACAAAATAAAAATAAATACATACATTGCTTGCCTAAGAGTGTAATTTGTTTTGTTTTGCTTTGCTCTGTGTATGTTTATTAGGGGGAAGTTGAATAAGATTATGGTTTTGTTTTGACTTGATTTGAACTAGTTTGTCTACTTTAAGAATGGTTCATAAAAAAATAAATAATGCTCTCAATGTCTAAACTCTGACTCCCATCAATACATAACTGTTTCACACAATCATCTTTCACTGTTTCACTCATTTGAAGCTGTATTAAAAGTAATTTGAAACACTATTCAACAACATATTTTACGACAATTCTAAATATATATTATACTACATCTATAATTATGCAGTATATATTTGCATTGTTCATGCACATACTTTTTAGTTATATATTTATTTTAATACTTTATTAAATTTTATAATATTTGTGTACAAGGTTTTGCATTATTTGCATTATTATTATTGCATTATTTGCATTATTTATAGTAGCCCAAATTAGCTAATGAATAGACCAAATGTAGTACATTCATACAATGGAATATTACTCAGTCATAAAAAGGAATAAAGCACTGATATATGCTATAACCTGGATGAGCCTTGAAAACTTCATGCTAAGTAAAAGAATCTAGTCACAAAAGACCACATGTTATGTGACTCTATTTATGTGAAAGGTCCAGAATAGGCGAAATTACAGAGAAAGCAGATTAGCGGTTGCTTAGGGCTGGGAAGGATGAGGGAATTAGGGATTACAGTTAAAGGGTAGTGGGTTTCTTTTTGAGGCAATAAAAATGTTCTAAAATTGATTGTGGTGATGGTGGCACAACTCTGTGAATATATTAAAAACCAGTGACTTGTACACTTTAATTGAGGAATTATAGGGTATGTGAATTATATTTAAATAAAGCCATACCACAAAAAATAATTTTAAAAACACACACAAAAAATTGATAATATTGAATATGCCCTAAGGTCCTCATGGAAATATTGTTTTGTTGCTTAGCACACTTCTGTTTAATTTATTTTGAAATAGTTTATACTCACAAAGTATACTTGAAAATAATTTATATATACAGAAGAAAATGAAAAATCATAATATTACAGTATTAAATGCTTTAATTCAGTGTTCCCTTTGAAACATTAATAAGATTCATTTGTGAAATTTGCAATAAAGTATAATGGGGGCAAATGGACTTTAAATTTATGATTCCATCTTAATTATCACTAACAGTCATTTTGAATTCTGATAAATCACTTTTTGTCTA